TCTGAGTTCTAGGTCTGTGCTAGAGTGTAAGAGTTAGATTGAATGTTTCTGAAGGGCAGAGTAGAATTCCCGTCAGTTTACAGTATTTAGAAAGCGAAGACCTGTTCAGAGGTCTGAAAAGAAGATAGTTAAGACCTGAAAGCCCAGAGAAAGTGGTGATTGACACTGGAGACCTACATGCCTTTTTCCCCTGGGCATTTACTGGTTCTAGGAGAAGCAAGAGGCTGAACATCCAGTCTTGGGAAAAGGCTGCTGCTGAGAGATTGAGAAACCAGCAGAAATTTTGGTGTTTACATGTAGCTTGAGTGACAAAATGGGAGACTTGAGTGGATCCAAACACATGCCCAGTTTCCCCTTCAGGATTTGCCAAATTGTGAAGATGCATGGATTTGGAGGGCTACAGAACTAAGCCAAAAATCTCTCAAGGACAGAACTGAATCTCTGACAGTCTTTCAGGGCAGAGGAGATAAAGACCTGCCAGGCTCTCAGTTGAAATTCCCAAGGGGCCTTCCCTAAACACAGCGGTGAACCAGAGGTAGACTGCGTCTTACCAGAACTGAAACAGCCCCGACCCAGCTCTGTCCCTGAGTGAAGGACTGACTCTCTATCTGCCCTACCTGCCTAGCAAAGGAAAGGGAAAACTTTCTCTGATGGGTGATAATGTCATGTGGAGCTTTAGCAGTTTTTTTAATATGCATTTTCCAACACATAATAAAAAATTACTACACACGCAGAAGGCAAGACTGTATGCCTATAGTCAGGAGGGAAAAAACCCGGATAATAGAAACAGATCTAAAGGTGTTCCAGATGTTAGAGTTAGCATCAAGGATTTAAAAACAGCTATGATCATATTCAAGGAAATAGAAGAAAAAATGGGCAAAATAGATGAAAGAAAGGAGAATATCCCCAGAGACTTAGAATTTATTTTTTTTTAAAGAATGAAATGGACATTCTAGAACTAACATTGGATATATCAATAGCCAGGATTAGTGAACTGGAAGGCAGATCAATGGAAACTATCCAAATCGAAGCAGAGAGAACAAAGAACTGCAGGGGCTAGGGGGAGTTCTCAATAAGTGTAAAAGATGTTGTACACAGACGAAAGGTCTAGCATATGTGTAATTGGAGTCCCAGAAGGAGCAGCAAGGAGAGAGAATAGAGCAGAAGCAATATTCATGGAGAGAATGGTTGAGAACTCTCCACAACTGATGATGACTGCACAGATTTAAGAAGTTGAATGAGCCCCCAAGCAGAATAAATAAATTTAGCTCTTGAAATCAGTTGATCATTGCTTTGTAAATAATACATACATTATACTCTTTTTAACCACTTACTAGTTTTAAACCTTGAAGCAGTCACTTGATCTTGTTGAGCCTCAGTTTCCTCACCTGTAAAAATGGTTATTAGATAAAAGACTATATGAAAAAGTGCCTTGGAAACTGTTAAGTTCTAAAGAAATACTAGGGGTTGTCACTGTTAATTATTCCAGCTTGACCAACTTGGGATGGCCTGTTTGGGGCGAGCTTGAGAGCTGTGTCCTATACTCTGGTCAGCCTCTGTCCACTGCCTTTCAAAGGCACTGAATGGGGTGGTGACCGACCTAGGGGCATAGGTCTACAGTGAAGGCAGCAACAAGATTTAAAATGAATCAAGTTTCTGGATGGGTCTAGTCATTGCTTTGCCCTCCCAGGATTCTGGTAATTGAGAGGTGACCAGGGTTGGGTTTCTGGGATCATGTGACCCATTCTGATCCAGCTCCCAGCCACACACCTTCCCTAGGTCTGCCTTGGTTCCACTACATCAGTCTTGCCTGGGGCTGAGCCAGAATCCCCCAGCCTCCAAGCATTTCCCCATACCAGCTTGTGGTTTAGGTCCGTGTTTTCCATACCCCTCCTGTGCCCATTTCTTGATAGTGTCCAGGAAGGACTTCACTAGCAGGAAGATCTCTTTATTAACTGTGTTGCATTCAGTTTTCCAGATGGATAACATTTGATAAAGTGTCTTAACTCACATGGACATTGATGTTATAAAGGAAAAAGAAAAGCCACCTGGACTGCAGTGGAAGCATCAGTACTTCATAGATGGGGAAGAAGAGATCTGAAGTATTTATTTGTGGTCTTCATCATGTATAAAATGAAAACCTGTGTGATATAGAAGTTCACAGTACAAGCTTTGGAGTCAGACAACTGGATTTTTACCATCTTTGCCATGTTACCTTGAACAAGTTACTTTAACCTTTCCTACACCTCAGTTTCGTCTGTGAAATGAAGGGATAGTTATACCTCTTAGGCTTGTTGTGAGATTTAAGTGAGCTAACATAAGTAAAGCATTCAATAAGTGCCCAATAAATAGTAGCTGCTGCTGTTTATATTCTAATAATTATTTTACCAACTAAGCTAAGGTTTATTCTTGAGCACTAATGCCTCAGCAAACTCAGTACACAGATGGATGGATGGATGGACAGATGGATAAGAATCAATGAAACTTCTATTACTAGTGACAGCTATAACATATTGTCTGGATCTCTTTATTTGTTAAGGTGAGGGTCTGTTTCTGGAAGGTCTGTCCTTTCACAAAATAGCTGATTGAAGTTCCTACCAAGAAAACAAGGCCTATGCCATTCAAAAACATTTTCTCTTCCCTGCATTATCAGTTAAAAGAAAAGTGTTCTGAGTTGACTGTTGAGAATAAACATAGCCTTGATAAGTAAAATTGCTAGTAGAACCACTCTTTAGAATATTTACTTAGGGGCCGGCCCGGTGGCGCACTGCTGTGATGCGCCGCTTGGGAAGCACGGCGGCGCTCCCGCCGAGGGTTCGGATCCCACATACAGACCGGTTCCCGCTCACTGGCTGAGTGAAGCGTGGGAGCGACACCGAGGGTTGCGATCCCGTTGCCGGTCCTGGTCCGGTATGGAGGCGACACTGAGGGTTGCGATCC